GCATATAGACCCCAAACAGAACACTGGCATCATTGCGAAACTCACAAACAATTTTGTGTTATTTAGCCATTGTTGGAGGGTGTCTTTCAGTCCCTGTATGTAATCAGATTATTGCCTGAAGCGTGGGATTTGATTGCACTTTTTTGTTCAGTTCAGCCAAGAGATTGCAAGTGATTCTAGAGATTCTTAGACAGTGGCTGCTCAGTTAAGACCTCCAGCTCGGTTCTTGAAAATGACTATCTAGATGTCATCTGCATATCTTCTAGGCTGTAGCCCTGCCTGTGCCAAATGTTAATGCTTCAAGGGAAGTCTTACCCTGTATTTTTCATGAAATCATGGGATCAGTACATTGCTTTTCAGTGGAAAACCTGTAGCTCAAACTCATTAAGAGTTGATTTTCCGCGCCAAAGTAGAGGCCGTCTGTGAAAATAGAAACGTATTTACCTACATATACAGTAGAGTACAGTTCAAAAATAAGAGAAGGCAGAGCTGAGGCCATGTTTTTACAACTCATAGTCCTGTATCTGTGCTCTACGGGATCAGTACAAGTTTGATCCAAATCATATGTGAACACAGCTACATTTCAGATTAGCCAAAACATGCAGTATAGACCTAATGTCAGCTTTCTGCTCTCCTGCTAGCTTCAAGAACATAGACAACACCTGATCCAGCGTAAGGTTAGAGTGATGCGTAAAATCAATTTCCCTTTGGGCAAAGAGCCTGCCTGCACAGAGTTAACCTATCAGAGCGATTTAAGCAAATTTGAACTGGCCAAGTGAGTTTGTACCGGATAAGCAGGTTGTCTCGTGTGGGCATGGCATTTGATCTTGTAGCTGGAGCCATGAAATCAGATCTACTGTGCGGTCAAACTACAGTCTGAGGAGCGTTAGGGCGTCGATGCAGATAAAAGCGGACTTCTAGAGTAAAAGCTTCATTTGCAGGTTGGTTACTCACATGACCAGCAACACCCTTGGCATGTCCTTGAAGAAATCTCCATTATTAACAAAGGCTTTTTAATAGGTTATTATTTATTAAGTGTCAGGAATGAGCAATAATACTTTAGAAAGCCCTCAGGCATATTAGCTGAATCACAGCCTATTCTAAATATAGTATAAAAAATTATTCAGATGGATATAATATGAGCGCAGTAATCTGACCAGTAAAGATTGGATATGTGTGCCTTTTTTCATAGTATATTTAGTTATTTTGTATTAAGAATAAAACAGCATTCAAGAAATGTCATTGGTCTAAATGAAATAAAAATTTTATTCACCCTGTTTAACACAACACTTCTGCAGAATCATCAGTAATACTGTTTAAAGAAAGCTGGAAAACACTACAGAGGCAGCTGTATAAACCTCATTTGAGGTCATGTACCACCCTCTAAAAGTAGCAGTACTTGAAAATAAGACCTCAGGGGACTCAGCAGATAATCTGCAGAAAATCAGATGCAAGAGGGAATTCCAGGGTATTGGGAAGGGAGGTTAAGCCTCCCCTTCTATTAGGTGTTCTATATTTGAGAGTCTCACTGTTGCTGATCTCTGGTTGGCCTGCCTCCCTCCTTTCCCTAGAAAAGCCATAAGCTACACATGTGAATATTCAGTGATTGTGTTCTCCCTCCACAGGCCAGATAGAGTGTAAAAATGTGGAATCCAATTATACTGAACTAGTGTTCAGGTCGCTTACTTCCCAGGGATTTAAAGACCCTCATTTGGCCTTTTAGGAAAAGAAACTAGATCAAGGTAGAGCAATTACGTTCTTCTTACACAGAGGAGCACCTGCTGACAGTGGTATTGAATTTGGGCCACCAAGATGGGTGTTCTTTACTTCAAAACAGAGCGTGAGTTGCTGCTTCTCTGGGCACATAAGGGATAGTGAAGAGAGAAAGTAAAGGGAAAAAGAAATCCCTTCCATCAATATTTCATCAAATGCTGGCAGCTGAACAAATCCAATTAATGATCTTTGTGATGGAAAGTCATTAACAGGATACCTACCAGTAATGCTCACTTTTTTCCTAAATGTGTTTGCCCTTTTTGTCTCATTTCCACACATTTAAGAAACTCTGACCACAAAGTGGATCAGAAAAAAGATTCTTAGAAAGCCTGAGCTTCTCTTGCAACCTTGTAAGTGGGCAGTTAATCTGCAGATACGAAACTATGATTGAAACGGCAGTGGAGACCTTCAGTTCCCTTACAGATTGTGGGATGATTTGTATGAAAAATTACACAATACACCTGTGATTATCCCAGCCAGAGGCCCTGTCATCAAAAAACAAAGCAATGCACCAAAGGGGTAGATTTTTTTAATGTATGACTCTTTGCAGTAATCACACATAACAAGTTACCACCTACAGAGCTTGTGAGACTTTTTATAGGCAGAGATAGTTAGTATGTTGTTATTGTTGCAGACTTATTGTGGAAGTTGCAAAGCATCTGGGGGGATTTGGGTGCTTAGTTACTTGGCTGGGCTTGAGTCCTGACGGGAAAACAGTTACACTGAATTATAGCAGACCAGATGTAGATTGTCTTCAGCTGACGAGCTGATTAGTTCAGCTGTTTCTTTAAACTTAAGTCAGATGCTGATTAAAAACAAACATTTTAAAAGAAACCTTCCTTTGACTTTGGTTTTTTTTGCATATTTCCTGTGATCTGTTCAAAGTTTGTTCTGACTAAAATGCCACTTACGTTTTGGCACTTAACTGCAAATATTGGGAAAAGTTTATGGAACGCTGCAGTCTTAGGTGGAACAGCCTGGAAACGCTGCCTGTTAATTGCCTTCTAAACATCTTTTGTTGCACTATCACCACATGCCAAATGCACTTTGGAGGTTTTGTGATTGGCAGAATTAACTACTCCAGCCATTTGAAAAAAAGAAAGAAAAAAGAAAAGAGGGAGCGAGAGAAAGGAGTGATTTTTTTTTTTTTAGTAGCCAATGACACGTCCATTGGTCAAAGAAGTGTGTCTGTCAGTTGTTGACAGAACAGAGCAACACCTAAGTCATAGCCTTGTTCATGTAGCTTTAGATTTGACCAATTCAGCATTAATGAAAAATATAAATTACTTCAGATGTCAATGGCAGAATTCAGAGTTATTGTTCACAGGGTGAATGTTGTATTTTTTAGGCTTGCTACAGTTACAGAAACATCAAGGGAAGCTTTATTTTCCTTCTTTTAAGCATGTTATACCTTTTTTATTGTCTTTATTTAAAACCAAATATATTTTAATGTGCTTGAAAGAAATGAGAACACAGCTTCCACCCATCGTTAATTTTCTGAGATTATTCTGAGGGAGAAAAATAAAACCTGAGATTCCCAAAGTTGTTTCAATGGCTTTTTTATAAAGTAAAGTTCATAGTGAGATCACTGTTTGGACAAGTTTATTATCTCACAAAACACGGGCAGTTTCTGTGTGAACTTAGAAATGTGATCACTTTTCATTTTTGAGTCAATTAGGGTGAGGGAAAAAAAATAGACCCTCTATCAGCAAAGCAACTTCTATACCTTTTGTTAAATGGCAGTTAAGGTCTTGGTAAACACTCCAGCTAATTCAGTTTGAACTTACGAGCAAAGCAGAATGTATCTATAATTAAAATATGTAAATTTGGTTTGTAAGTAGCAGTGGTCTTTTTAAAGGGGAAAAAACTTCAAATTTGTTAATTGTGGAAGTGATCGTTATTCTCTACTTTCATAAAGTTACATGTTAATTATTATTTAATATCTTTTATGCCTTTGATCGGCTATCACACTAACTGTAAGAAGGTCTTCTTTCTTATTTAGGTTAAGACTGGCATCAGGGGGTTTTCTCAGCTAGAATTAAATTTAGTCAAAATGTTAAAACTAGTTTAAAAAGCAGCTTTAAGATATTCTCAGTTTCCAAATTTAAGTCTACCGTATTTATCTTAGTCAGCTTAAAATACCGTGGTGCCATTCACTTTACAAGGGCTGGCACACTGCTTTATCAAAACCCACATTAACAGATTTTTTTTTTTTTTACGAAAGAATTTCAGAATTGTATCTTTAAAAAGATACAAGAGGAGGATGTTCAGAATATTGTAGTTCAGTGTGGAATAATGGTAAACATAGGGTATTTGTCAGTAACTTTCTGTAATCCCCTTACTACTGCATGGAGTAATCCCTCTGTATACAAGAGCTTTCTCCCCAGTTTCTTCTTTGCAGCCCTGTACAATGAAGGAGTAATCCCAAGTTTATCTATCAACAGAGATCCTGTGTTTATGTCTGTCAGCATACTTAGGACGGTGAATGTCTCAAATTAAGGGCTGCAGTTTCATGGCAGAGTGAAAAGAAAAAGAAAAGCATATGTGATCTTCACGTGAGACAGACAAACATTTCAAGGTTCAAGTCCTTTTTATAAGTCTTCTTTAGCATAAAAGCTTGTTAAAGTTCAAAGTTTATACAGAGGATAAAATGATAGATAAAAATAATGATAGATAATTGTAAATTAGTAATTCTTAAAACTTGAAGAAAGACAAAAATATTCCTACCTATTCATAGTTTCTCATATAGAAGCATTTTTTCCACCAGGGAAACACCTATCCGAAGTGATTGATAGACTTTTTTACAGTGGTAGAGATCGCTGTGATCATTCAGTCCCACGTCCTACACAACAACTTTCTCTGAAAGAAAGGCACTTGGAGTTTGGCTGCCCTGTTCATTGTATCTTTTGTTCTGAAGGCGTACGGATGCTGGATGGGGACGTGACAGACATGGTCGAGGCAAAGTCCCTGAGCCTTAATCCGCAGCATATCCACATCTACAGCGCCAGCTGGGGGCCTGATGATGATGGTAAGACTGTGGACGGACCTGCTTCTCTAGCGCGTCAGGCCTTTGAGAACGGCATCAGAATGGTAGGTTGGCATCAAAGTGCGTCTCCCGGATCTGCTCTCGTGTGCGGGTGTAAGGGTGCACGTGCCTTGGTACGTGCCAGTGCACAGCATGGGGAAGATTCATATTCTTAAGGAAAGAAGAAAAGCTTCGTTTGTATAAAATGAAAAATACATTTTTATGCCGCACCGGCTAGGCATTGATCCTTCCTGAAGTATCAGCTAACCTTCTTCATTGTCAACTGAAATACATCATCCTCAGTGTCCTTTAAAACTGCACTGAGGTAATGATGTAATTTTACAAGAAAAGCTAAGCCTGAAAAATGCTACTTTGCACAGCAGTGCCAAGTCATGAAATCTAAATTGCTATGAAATTATAAAGCAAAAGCCTTGGACTGTTTTTCCTTCTTCCTTCCTTTCTTTCTTTTGTTTTTGTATTTTGCTTGATTTCATACTGGAAGTTTGGTGGACTTAAAGAGGGAGTTGGAAACAAAAAAAAAAGATTCTACATTCACATTTCTTTTAGAGTATATCTCTGGTCTCCGAGAACATACGCCCTTTTTATAGCTTACATATACATTTTTCTACCAGTTTGTACTGTTGCAGAGTCTCTGTGATATAGTCCAGAGAGCTTGAATAGTGCAATGCACAAAATCCTAACCACCCCTGTCTGAAAAAATCGAAGACCTTTTCAATTTTCTTTAATAAGTAACTGTCAAACAAGTAAAACCGCAGAAAGAAACAAGCAGTTAGAGGAACTTTTGATGTCAGAGGCCAATTTTTAGTTCTTCCTTTTACCCTCCTGCCTGTTAAATAGATCAGGGAATTCCTGGTTTTCCAGTGCTCACACCTCTTTCCACTATATAAGACTGGATGGAAAGCATTTTAAAGCTCTGCACTTGAAGGTCTGAGCATTATTTTGAATGCAGTGGGAGGCTTGCTAGCTCAATGGTGAGTAGCTCTAGGATCAGAAAAGAAGAGATTAGTACAAAATATTTATTTAAAGACTTTGAGGCTGAGACTGTTGGACTAATACTGGAACACAGAAACACTGATCAGCAAAATCGGAAAGTGTAGCCATTGTTTAAGCCAACAGGAGTTTTAATCAGGTGTGCCAAGACTGATTTTAGCAAACTATAACTAACATTCAACTTGGAAGGCTTGTGCTTTTTGTAAGAGACAGTGTCTGCCATTGACTCTCAATTATATTAATTTAAGATAAAGCACAAAAAGTTGAAACAGGGGTAATAGATGTAGAGAGATAATAGGCAAAGTTGCAAGAGCACCTGGTTGAACTGACAGTCTGTATCCCCTGTTCAGTATTTCAAGTGATTTGCAGTATGCTTGACTATGAGTTGTAAATAAATACAACATAAAATTAGTACCGGCTATTACTGTAACCACTATCTTGCAGCACGAGCCTAGGAGCTGTGAGTTGTTCCATTCTGGTCACAGCTGCATCTCTGGCTTTTTTTGGTTTCTTCTATAAAGTTGCACAAGTTGCTTACTCTGCCCCCTGGCCCCCGGCCCCAAATGTGGATGATAATATATGCTCACCTACCTGGCAGATGTGTATGAAGAGTGATTATTGAAATACTAAGCTGGTGACAAGGACTAGTGAGTGTGCTTCTTGTGCTATGTAATGTTAAGAACATGCCTCATAAAAGTCAGTACTGTGAATACTTTACTAACCATGGGGCAACGGGCCACTGCCTTCCTTTCACTTGGTAACACGATGACCATTCAGTGAGGAGCTGCAGCCCGTTGTACAATGTGTATCATGTTAAGCCTAGCACAACAAAATACTCAAGCGTGTACTTAACTTTACCCCGTGAGAAATTGCAGTGGCTTAGCAGTAAAACACATTTAGGGACGCTGATAGATTCTGCCCCCAGAGAGGTCTGCTGCATTTAATAATCATTATTACAGCAGTTATTGGAAAGTTCATAGAGCAGTCGCAAGTCTGTGAGACGGTCGAATACATCTCCATTATTGCGTCCCATGCACCGTCAGTTCTCCTTTCAGCTGGAATATCAGCACTCACCAGAGCCCCACTGCAGTCTACTACTGTTTGACAGTGACTGTGGAGAGGAAAAACAGTAATGTGTTGAAGGGATGCTAATGGAACTGCAGGACACACGGGAAGTTCAGCAAAATGAGTTGCATATATAAACATACATATATGTTAGTTTAAATATCATGTTTCGTACAGATTAGGCAACCATGAAAAATTTAGCACAGATTTCTATACCTGAAGAACTCAGCTGTTTTCTCATTGAAATTTCAAACTCTGGATAAATCTGGTATAAATCAAGAATGTAGATTAATTTTCCATAAGAAATCATCTTACATTCAGGCATTATTATTCCATTATAATTATAATAAATATAATATGAGTGAATACCCTAAAAACCACAGATAAATTTCATTATACCACCACATTGTACTACCACATTGTACTACCACAATATATTTATTTGTAGGTACCAGTACATAATGAAAACAGAGTACCTCTTTTTACAGTTCTGAGGAGGTCTTTCTTATGAGAACAGTGCAGAAAAATAGTTTACTACATTTCTTGGGGTAATATTAGAAGTCATATTTGATGCAAGTCAGATTATTATTATTGTTCTTACGGTTTAACTTTTATTTCATTTTATCAGCCTTCTTTTCTTCTGCCCAAAGTGGCCCATACGGAGTTGCATGCTTCTAAACATTTCCATGTATTTGGAAATCTTGTCCTGCTCTGACTGTGAGCTTTTTTATTTCTGCTAAGGAAATTAAAATTGTAAGCAAAAGTTTAATAAAACTGAGATATATTTGAAAGTATCTAATCGTACAGATAAGAGAGAGAAAATGCTTAAGGTTAATACTCAAACTTCCATTCTTTAAGATGTAATATATACTGAAAGATTATAAGGCGTAATCTGCACCAAAAGGTTATGCATATATGTCTCAATTATCTGCGTATTTACAGGCTTAGTTTGCAGGCCCCAAATAACTTTAAGATGAACACGTTTTCCTCACTCTCTTTGAAAAAGTATGCCTTACAGTGTTTGGATAAAGATTTCTGCCGTTTCTGTTCTGCTTTACATTGTCATTAGATGTGTCTTTTTAAAAGATGAGACAAACCAGAGAAGAAAACACAAATTATCTCTGTTTCCACAGTATTCCTAAAATCAGATCATTGTCCAAGGTAATGACGGTTGGACAAATACCCTGCCGAATGCTGATTTCCCCAAGCAGTCACAGTAATTGTGCAATAATAATAGGCGTACAAAAATGCGTATTGCACTGTGTACAGACCTTTACCTTACTTTTTTTGAAACGCTGAACTGAACAACAACGCTATTACATCTGGTATCTGTGAAGTTAATTAAAGTAACATTGGTGCAGGAAAGTTTGGCAAGACCCTCTTTCAGACCTACACAAAGGTTCAAAACTGATACTCTTCATTTGTTCTGCATATGCAGACAGAACTGGATATTAATTTAAAAAACAGGGACAGTGAAGAATAAGGTCAAGATTTTTTAAGTGGCTGAAAAAGAAAGTACACCTAGTTTGTTTAATTAGGAGAATTACAGGTAGTGCTGAATAATAACTTTGATTAAAGTATAATTAAACGGAGTGATCTCTTTTTATTACATTAAGGAAGTAATAAGTGAAATGGAAGCAAGAGCCACAGTCTCTTATCCAGTTTTCTGAGAGACTGATATTCTTGAAAAACATGCCTGTTTTATCTTTGGCTCATATTATTCCAATTAACAGCTCATGCAGGGTGCTTTAGAATTATTATTATTTTTAAATCTGCTGAGCTAATATGATTACTCCTTCCAAATCCTGCGCAAAGTAACAAAGATAAATGACTGTACATTTCTTTCCGTAGAGTTCCACGGAGACAGAACATGCCATAAATTGGAATAGAAAAATCTATTGAAAGAAACTGTACCAAATAATAACTGACATTATGAAATGAAACCCTAACTAGAAATTAAATATGCTTTAAAAATTCTATCCAGGATCAAGGTAAAGGAAGAGGAAAACAATTTTTAAACCTGTGTCAAGAACCATGATTTTCTATCATCTTTAAGTTACTTTGTTTAATCCTGTTAAATTTACATACTTCAGTTCAAAGAGTAACCTTGGAGACTTCACTATCAAACAATTTCTATGCAAATGTAATGGCTTCATTTATATCATACTTCCAGTTGACAAGGTCCTTTTCTTGGAAATGGTAGTTATAAGGATGGAAAATTCTGGAGGCCTGTGTTTTAAATACCAAAGTATTACAAGTTGTAGACTTAATAACCTCGAAAACAATCCCATTATAATCACACAGAACGTGCCTTAAAAATCAAACTAAGGCCGATATGTCCAAAAGCAACACATTCAAAAAAAGGTTGGATAAATGATGTCACATAGGGCCCTCTGTTCAAGGATAAATAGGCTTAGTGTTGCAAAACATGACTGTGGCCAAACCGTGGAATAAGAATGTAGTCTTTACTGAGTCTAGAACAAAAAAGGGAGTACAAAAGCATTTTCTTGATGCAAAAAGATAAAACCAATGCAGCATTAGATTTTAAGACGACTGTCTGTATCTTGCAGTCTGCGTGTTATAACCATTTTAGAGACTCGTGCTCTCTGATACACGGCTCTCTGATACGGAGTTGAAAACTGTTCATTTCTGTTCATACAAATAAGCCTAATATTCTAGGCATCAGTCTCAGTATCAGTACCTCGGTTTGGGTAGCTGTATATTTCAGGTGCTCTGACTTGTTCTTCCAAGTCAGAGAAGACTGTTTGAGAAAGTCCTAATCAAGTTTGTGGAGAATTTTGACCCCTGTTGATGTTTTTCATAGCAGGGTTTCAAAGAGCTACTTATCTCACCTCTCACAATGTGTAGCCAGCTGCATGCGCTCTGGTATTTGTTTTGCAGTACCCATAGAGTAGTCCACATCAGTGGCAAGGCAGGTTATCCTTAGTATAGCAGCGGAGGGCGGACAGGCAGTGAAGCCTGCATGGGA